TAGTTGAATGTGGGTCTCAATGCAATGAATCAAGCAATGGAAGGGATGGTGGTTGTTCAAATCAAGCATTGGAAGGGATGGTGGTTGTTCAACCCATAGTTGTTGGAAACGCCTAAGATTCCGAGTCGTTTTAGGAATCAGAATCTCAATTGTCTAGAAGATTTGTATTTTTGGAATCAATGTCCGTACAAAGGGAATTTCAGGAAACAAGATTCCTACTTTTTACGAATCGAGATTCAACCCAAATGGAAACAAGATCCCTACATATGTGGACTTGAGTTTCTAACCTATTTGGAAATAACCATATAGAATCAAGATTTCTTCATATATAGAATCAACATTCTGATATCTTTGGAATCGAGTGTTTGATTTGATGCCTTTCATAGGTTCCGAATTGTTTATTTTGCAGCTCATGGCCCAATGTTTGTTTTTGTAATTTGTTTGAGAGAGTATCATTATATTTGGAATCCATATTCAACAAATGTGAATTCACAGTTCAACAATTGCGGAATCAAGAATCAATAAATATTAGAAACGATATTCTAGAAGTGTTGGAATCAAGATTCCTAAAATAAAGAATAGAGATTCATGACTTCATGGAAACGGATTCTATGAAGATTCCTTGTCGGAATTGTGGAATCGGAATCGCGACCTTGTGAGAGATTCCGGTGACTACGGTTCAACCAAGGTATAGAGAGAACATCAGTTATGTTAAGGTTATAGAGCGAAGAAATTCAAGGCTTAGTAACAAGCTGCTGCTTTTGCCCAACATCATGGAGCATCAGGTGTTCATATGGAAAACTTTGTCCTTGAAATGAGCTTAAAAGTGGCTATTGAAGCCTATTGTCTAGCTTATAACCTCCAAATTTCCCCTAAGGTTGATAGGACTAATATTAGTTCTTCATTGATTCTGTGAAAGAAGTGATTTCTTAGTGAATTGGAGATAGATGGGTTGCTCTCTCTCTTGAAAAAGATGGAGACGGATCAGGCTATGAGTGCCAGGGCATTTTGTTTGTAAGCAAATGTTATGCTTTTGAATTACTTCATTATATGCTAATAAAGTATCGACAGGGGCAAGTTAATTTGTCTATAATTTAGGTGCATTTCATTTTATTTTCTCGTGAATATTGGATCCATTTGTACGCAATAAAAAATGTGAGATCCATTTGATTGAATTGCTTTTCTATATAAACTAGCAAGTATTGACAAGGGCATAGTAGCTGGGTTTTCAGCCGCCAAAGAATCACACACCTTATGAGGGGCCTCAGTCTTGGTTAGTGCCTCTATGTTGCCCTTGGCACTTTGTGCTGATTTATTGCATAACAATGCCACCTAGGCCCATCGATCAGATCCTACTGCCTCCACCTATGATAGCTCGTTGCTAGGTATGTATGTGTCAGACTGCTGCACCGATGAACTTTGTGAATGAGTACTGTTAGGATTCTGAACTCACAATAAAGTGACTCGTGAGTCAATTTGAGAGGCCCAAGTTGTGAGCAGATGCACATGGTATCTGACAACCAGTTCTTATTCTGGACCACTGTGAGATGTCAGTCTAAGGGGCACAACACATCTTCGTTGTTACCAATGGTGGTAAGTGTCATGGGGGCTGACTTTTCAGTTGTGCTTACCAAGCTCACTGAAAAGGAATGGAGCAGAAAAAGTACATAAGGCACGCACGCACAAGTTATAGAAAATGGCTGTAATCCCCTTTGCCCTTTCTTGTGCAGGATTGGGCGATGACCAACTGGGGAAGAGGATATAATGGAATAATTCGATTAGGGATAAGCAGACAGCGGGGTAGAGGTAGTCTTATCCTATTACTAAAGGCTTTTCCAGCAACACTAATATCTGTTGATCAATGTGCAAATAGATATTCCTGGGTACAGGTGATAAGGAACTGCCTTGGGGATTCCCCGCTCAGTTGCCACATGGTTTGATTTTTCCATTGGACCGAAAATATCCGAAGTTAGGAAATCTTTTTTGATTGCTCCTATTCAGCTCTAATTGGTTGTCAATGGTCTTTGCAAGGGTTTTGCACAGCCCAAAGTATGAATCGACACACTCGTCCTCATTTACATGGGCATTAAGGCCTGCACCACTAATTCTACCCACCACTTGATGGGGTGGTTACACTAGCCCATGTCTCACCATTAATGGCTGGTGGCATGACTTTTTCTTTGTTCTTTTTTTATTTGTGGGGGAGGGGGGTGTCAATCTACTCTACGGGTCACTATTGCCCATGCATGATTCAAACATGCGTAGTCATTAACTATTAAATATCCACCCAAGCACACCAGGAGTACTCAGCCTTTCTCACATGGCATATGACCACCAAATGCTCTGGGGCAGTTACATTTTAAGTCCGAATTCTTACATGTGACCATTAGGGTCAAGACACCAACCCAGACAGGTGTATGGTCAGCCGCTTCTTGCACATGGACCATACCCATGTCCTGTCATGCCATGCTGCCCGTGGTTCGACCAAACAAGCCTCATGTACACATGTACACATGCATCTATATGCACTGCATCCCCAAAGCCTTGCGCCAAAGGTTTTTGCTACTTGTCTACATGTACACATGCATCCATGCATTGTGCAACATCAGCATCATCTCCCGTCCAAGGTTGGTTAAGGTTAAAGGTACTCCTGCATATAGGTCTGTCAGTCTAACAACTGGCCTAACAAGAGAGAGCTAAATACTCTAAAGTTGCTCATGTACAGGACATTGGGTCCTTTGTAAATGTTCTGTCACCAAGGAAGTTTCAGTACCCCACTTAATCCACTCTCATGATGCTAAGGAAAAGAGTCTAACTGGTAAGACACCCCTGGGCAGGTATAAGAGGGCTTTTTCCCTAGGTAATTAAGTCATTTGTGTTGCCCCCAACCACACCCTATCTAAATAATGTGAGTGCCAATTATTTTTCTCCATTAATGGCACAGAGTCACTTGGGAAGCGAGGGCAAAACCATCTGCTGGATTGTCGGAGCAATGAGCTCTAGCTGCATTCTGATTTCTGGTTTTGGTGGATTGGTTTGAGTTTTACATTTGGTTATAAAAATACAGATATTCTCATGCATTTATTTTGATGTATTACTCGTAATAACTTGTCTTGCCACTCATCCATCTCAACATCCTCATCTCAGCTGCATTCATCCTATGGATATGTTGTTTCTTGATTGTCCAACATTCTATTCCATAAAGCATTGATAGTCTTACATCCATTCTATAAAGGCTGAAGAGAAAGTTTTATAGGACGGCTGTAAGACCAATCATGCTTATGGGACTAAATATTGGGTGGTCAAGAAACATCATCTTCAAAGGATGAACGTAGCTGAGATGAGGATGTTGAGATAGATGAGTGGCAAGACAATAAAGGATAGAATTCAGAATGCATACATATGAGAGAATTTAGGTGTGGCTTAAATAGGAGATAAAATGAAAATAGACTTAGGTGGGCTGGCCATGTGTGTTAATTTTTATTTAAAAATTGGAGTTTCAAAATCATTTTTAATGTTAAAATTGATGATAGTCCATCATGCTCTTTTGGTGCACATGGACCACCACTTCTTCCTCCCATCTTTTTTTTTTTTGTTTGTCTTTTATACCTTTAATGTTGCTTTGTCATGATGACCTCACCTCCTTGTTCCCCATGAGCCACATGCCCATGCACTTGGCATTTCACTCTCTCCATGTCTCGCTCTCTCTCTTTTAATGCCACTTCTCTACCTTCCCAATATTATATTATTTCTCTTATATATAAGTCTTGGGCAATCGAGAAAAAGCATATGGAGATGTATGAATTTGGGATAGTGAAGGGAGTGAAGTCAACAGCAATTTCCAGCAACATTTGGAAGAGGGATTTGAGGTATTTTCTAAGAACAATGAACTCATATAATTTCTTCTTCATGTCTCATTTTCTTTAAGATAAGTTTGGTAGCTGTGATTTTTGTGAGTTTTCTGAGCATGCAACTCAGAAACTCTGATAGTTTATGATCTGGCTGTATCCTGGAGGTGTGTTCACCATATACCTTTTGCATCTCGGTTTTGTACCGGGTAGAGGGTGATCAACACTCCAAAGAAAGCGAGCTCCTCTCATGCCTCCAAATCCCAATTTTTGTTGCTTCTTTGTTTAACCTCCGAATCCTGCTCCGATTCCTACGGGAATCCGACTGGTACTAGGATTGTTTCGGTTTCCAGATACAACCTCTGAATCCTGCTTTGACTCCTACAGTAGTCCGACTGGTATTAGGAGCGTCCTGGTTCAATTCAGGCTTTATCCGGATCTTAGAGAGGTGTTGCCAATTTTTTCTCAGGATGAGAGTTAGTGAAAGGCTTATCAAGCGTAAGTTCCACTTATCAGGCGGCAGTCAGATTTAGCGAGTGTAAGTTAAGCTATTGACTGTCTGTGAGGTTATCAACCTGTGCATCAGCTATCACCACTACCAAAAGCTAACAATGTGCAACGTAGACTTAATACAACGCCGGTTAGGAGGTGCGATTTGGTTCAAGTAGAAGGCACTAAAAGGGCAAGGGGAAGGCCCAAAACGACATTGATAGTAGTGTTAAAAGATATGGTGACTTGTGCTCTCATTGAAGATATTGCCCTTGATAGAGAAGAATGGAAGAACAAGATTCATGTAGCCAACCCTAAAAAGTTGGGATACGGCGTGGATGATGATGATGGCTCGTAATAACTTATAGTGGTGGTGCTCTTAAGTACTGAGCCCAATTTCATGCTTAGATACTGTTGCACCTTTTGACTCTTGCTGTAGTTGAAATGTTTTATATCGTATTTTGTCTCTGTCATTCCCAAGTTCCTCACTTACATAATGCCACTGCATAAGCGCCATAACATAAATATGTAATGTCACTACATAAACGCCATAACATAAATGTTTTCTCCTATTATTGTATTAGAGAGCATTCTGGTGTGCTAAATTCAAGTCATTGGAAGATGTGCGATACTAATCTATGCTGTGCATGGGCTTTGATTCAGATGATGGGAAAAGTTAACAAAGAAAGACTTGCAGAATACCTTGGGGAGCTACAGAGGAACGAGGATACCAATGATAGATATGTTGCTGCTTTGAGGGGACAGACATTGACTCGGAAACCCTATGTGAGAATTCAGCCAGTAACCAATGAAAGCAGTGAAAAGCAGTGAAGGGTAAGGTACAGCTCGGATGCGCAAGTGCATTTTCAGATAGAAAACGTTTTGCTTGACAAACAGGTCCATCTTAAGGTAAATCTATGTACCTTATGTTACATAGGTAGTTTTTGTATGGAGTGTTTGAAGAATTCTCATGGTTTTATGCGTTTCTTCATGACAACTCCGTGAAAGTGGCTTGGACCCCACAATGCTGCTTCGTTTTATTTTTCTTTTGTATAAAGGTTATCAAATGCTATTGCATGCCGTATTTTTTGTGAACTGTGGGAATCAATTAAGGCAAAATACTGGTAATGATCATGAATTGTGGTTTGGGAAGCCTCCATGGAAACATCCTTGAGAATGATTATGACCTCCATGTATTTCATAATTAAGGTGTATCTCAAAAACCCACCAAAAAATATTAATCTGGCACTAGAAAGTCTTCCCATTGAGAAGAATTTCCAGTTCTAAGTAGTATATCTTGTAATATATTATCTAGGTTATTCATTTTAAGAAAATATGTATAGATTTGTTTAATCTGCGTCATTTTTGGAACTTATTTACAATTAAGGGGTGGAATGATTTTGAGGTCAGCTTAAGGTTTTAGGCACTAGGGAGTTTGAGGGTGCACGATTCTTTAATGTAGACGCTTATTATGTAAACTTTACCCTTTTTAACAAAACAAAAAAGTTTATACAAGTGCTAGGCTCTAAACAATCAAATGAGGGTGCACGTTAAAATTTTCACTAGAAGAGGTTATTTTGATGCGCAAAAATCGTCATATCTCGACCACAAGATGCATGGACATGAGAAAAAAGTAGATTTCAAGTTTTGGAAATAGTACATCTTGTAATGCATTTTTAGATTGTCAATTTTTCAGATTTTCAAGTTTTTATAGATCTGCTCGATGTACATTATTTTTTAAGCTTTAATTTTTATAATTAGAGATAATAATATATTTTGAGGCTGTCACAAAGATTTTCAGTATTTGTGTTTGACAATATTCCATTATTTTATTAATCAAAAGAGCTTACAATGCAATCAAGTAATCAAAACATACGAAACAACCAAATCTTTCATCGTACCTCCTCTCTTAGCTAAAACATCTGCGATTTCATTTCCATCTCTATAAACATGTTGGAAGGTTACAGTCATATCTCGGCTGAATTCCATTACTTCCATCCATTCTGACCTTAACTTCCAAGGAGGTTTAGAGACACAATTACACCAATGAACCACATTTAGGGAATCACATTCTATCACACATCCTTTCTGTAAGCCTCCATCTTGTAAAGTTTGGAGCCCCTTTACCATCGAAATCAGTTCTACTTCATTGGCTGTTTTTATACCACACCAAGGTGATTCCTTACTACACTTCCAAAGCCTGCTGGCCCTGGATTTCCATAAGAGCTCACATCACAATTCAGTTTTATACTTCCTAATCTCGGAGCAATCCATCTTCCCTTGTGCCTCACCTTCATCACGTTTTGCATCATTAAATTCCTCATGTTTACCTCCATGTCAACCTTTGAGACCCCAAAACCTTCCTTCGTAATAGAGACCTAACTCCAAATTGTATGTTGAATTCTCTTCTTTAGCAAATCCCTTTCCATTACCAGCCCTTCAAACACCCTTCTATTCCTTTCCAACCAGATCTCCCAAAGGACTGTTGCCATTCCAACCAAGAAGATCAAGTTTCCAACCTTTGGCAGCCCGTCAAAAAACATATATTCAATAATATTGATGTGGCTTTGGGGCAACGGTCCTGCAATTCCCATCATGTGAAGAAACCAACACCATATGTGATGAGTGAAAGGGCACTGTAAGAATAAGTGGTCACCACTTTGATCACACTCCTTGCATAGCATACAAATATTTGTTATTATCCTCCATCTCTTCATAAGCTTATCAACTGTCAAGCACTTCTCTTGAAATAACACCCAAAGAAACACCTTCACTTTTTGTAGAATCCTCCAAGACCTTATTTTACCCAACAAGTCCCTATTCCACCTTATCCTATAATGAATAGAAGATTATATGTTGATTTCACATAAAAGACCCCATCACTTTTATCCTCCCACACACCAAGTCATCAGGAAAGTCTTTATGTAACTTCACATTTTCCAGCAATCTAAGTAACTCTTCCATCTGCAAGATAAATTCATCACTAACTTTATTATATGCACACTTTATATCCCAAATTCCCCTCTCTTTGCAGTATACCTCACCTACTTTGGTCCTAGGGTTAGATGATGCATTATAAATTAGAGGAAAATAATACCTTAACAGAATTTCCCCAATCCATTTCCCGTTCCAGAATTGAGTCTTGAGACCATCCCCTACCCTCTCATCTCGAACAACTCAACATAAACCTTCTATTCTACATAACAATTTTCCAAACCCTTGACTGCAACCTCGAACTCCTATTATTCCCCAATCACAAGCTATCTCTATCCTCTCCATACTTATCCTTAGTAACCACTTTTCATAGTGCATCATCACCATCCATAGATCTCCACTACCACTTTGCTAACAAAGCATAATTAGCATATTTTACTCTCCTAACTCCAAGGCCTCTTTCAAAGACCGGTGTACACACTCTATCCCAACTCACCAAGTGGTACTTCTTTCCAAATTCACCTGATCCCCAAAGGAAGTTTCTCATCAGTCTTTCAATAACCTTTGAGACCGAAGTTGGCATCATTAGCAGAGACATCTGGAACACAGGCAAATTAGAAAGTGTAGCCTTAATAAGAGTTGTCATGTCACCAAGAGATAGATTTTTTGACTTACACAAATCCAACTTGGCAGATTTTTTGACTTCCACAAATCCAATTTGACATGCATCCTTTCAATCACGGGATTCCAAACTGACCTTGGTAACCGACAGTCTAAGATTGGCAATCCCAAGTACCTAATGGGAAATGTCTCTACTTTATACCCCAAAATATTAGCTAATTGATTCACGGTCCCATTCTCACATGCCACACCAATAATAGAAGTCTTCTCAAAATTCACCTTGCGACCTAACCCCACTTCACAGCACAAAAACATTCTTCTAATGTTCATAATTTGTTCTACAGATGCATCACAAAAGAGAAGCATATCATCAACATACTGAAGGTGTGAAATATGTTGACTATTAGCTGAAACCTTGAACCCTTTAAATCGGCCCCTGTTTACCACATTACCAATGCTACGACTAAAAGCCTCCCCCATTATGGTGAAAAGAAAAGGGGACAAGGGATCACCTTGTCTCAGCCCCCTCGAGGCATTAAAAAAGCCTTTCGGACTTCCTTCCACCATAATCGAAAAATGGGTGCTCACTAAACAACCTCTTATCCAACCGCACCACTTTTCCCCAAAACACATGCATCTCAATACTTCTAAAACCACATCCCAGTCCAGCCTATCATATGCCTTATCCAAATCCAACTTTAACAAAAGGTTCCCCCAATAAATTCCTTGAATGAATACATTCCTGAGCAATGAGAACCCCATCAGTAATAACTCTCCCTTGAATGAACGCTGATTGTGGACCCACCACAACTCTATGCAAGACCTTCTTCAATCTTTCAGCCAATATTTTAGCAATAATTTTATACATACTTGTTAACAGGCTGATAGGACGAATATCCGATATCCCTGATATAGAGCCACTTTTTGGAATGAGCGCTATATATGTTGAATTCATTGCTTTATTGAGAACACCCCTTTCTAAAAACTCATTAACCATCATCATCAAGTCCATTTTCATAACATCCCAGAATATTTGAAAAAATCTAAGAGGGAATCCATCAGGTCCTGGAGCCTTATCTCTCGGCAAAGCAAAAACAGCTCGCTTTACCTCCTCCTCAGATGCCTATCCTTCCAATGATCTAGCCTCCTCCAATGACAACCTTTGAAAATTCAACCCATGCAATGTAGGAGTAAAAACCATATCCTTGGTAAATACATGCTGAAAAATGAAAATGGCTGACAAATTTCATTTCCCATGCGTCTCTATCCCCATCAACAACTCCTTCAAATCGAACTCCCGAAATATCATTTTGTCTTCTCCTAGAGTTCGCACTTGCATGAAAATATTTTGTGTTCAAATCACCTTTTCTCAACCATTTTACCCTAGATCTTTGCTGCCAATATATTTCTTCTGATCTCAACGTCTCATGAAGAGAACTAAGGAGACCCACCTTCTCATCTCGAAGACCAATTGTTAAATTACACCCATTTTGATTCTGAGCTTCTACCCCTTCTAAATCTAATATGATCTTCTGAATCATTTTTTTAATTTGGAACTTCGTCTCTTTCTTCCATTGAAGTAACTTATGCTTGATGCTAACCAACTTTTTATGCACGCGAAAACTATACCACCCTAAAATAATAGAATTTTGCCACGTGTGCTTAATAATTTCAACAACCTCCTTTTCATCTAATCAAACCAGGTCTAACCGAAATGGTTTATGACCAAAATGATAGTTCTCAGTATGTAGACATAATGGGATATGATTCGAAAAGAGCTTGGTAAATGCCACAACACGAGCCAATGGAAAATGTTGCTCCCATTCATTCGAGACCAAAAAGAGATCAATCTTACTTTGAATAAGATTATCGATGCTATTATTCGACCAAGTATAATATGCCCGATTAATAGATAAATCAATAAGCAGATGCTGTAAAATAAACTGATTAAATAGCCTTATAGATAGATTAAGAGAAGTAGAAGACGATATTTCAGCTGGCCATTTAATCATGTTTAAATCACCACCAATACATACTGGCAAATTCACATATGCAATCAGAGTGGATAAGATATATAAAAAATCTTCTTTTAATTCATTCGCATTTGGTCCATAAACATTGCTACACATCCAGACAAACCCATTCACAATCCTTCCAAAATCACCATAACAAACCTTTCAGTCAAGAGAGAATCAATAAGTTTAAAGCAAGTGGGGTCCCACAGGGACCACAAACCCCCAGCCGCACCTGTAGACTCAAACCCTACAAAGGCCACAGGCCTTACACCCCATATCTCCCTAATTGTATTAACTGTTTCCCGCAATTTAGTTTCCTACGACAACAAAACTTCAAGCTTTAAGGACCTGACCAAAAACAGGATTTCACGTTTTCTCCTCACACTACCAAGACCTCTAACATTCCAAATACAGATCTTCATTAAAACGTGATGAGGACCCCATCCTGGCTGGACCAGAACCACCATCAGAGCTAGTGGAGAAAGAGCTGGACTCGATGTCCTCAATGGCATCTTTACCTTTCTCATTATCAACAATAGCAAGCTTCTTAGGTTGAAGTTCACGCCAGGCCACCAACTGAAG